GTAAAATATCTTATGATCCCTAACATACCACTTCATATTAATTGTGGCCTTCCTAGATTCTTCATATGCTTTGAAGTTTTGATTCTGCCTTTTCATAATTGCTTGAGGCGATGATATCCTTTCTACCACATGCTGCCTCTTGCTGCCCCACTAAATTGTTGGTGCGTTGTGTCGTTATTCTGCATGTTCATAGAAAACGGCCAGTTGGATAGAAGGCGTTATTAGCTGATACAAGTTAAATAAACATGAAAATGAAAAGTGTTTCCTATCCGTGAAATGAAATCTTTATATACATAATAAATGTCCTTCAAAGTCCTTTGGCACTAGACTTGTTTGACAGGGATCCACTTAATGTTAGATGCTTATTAACTGGGGTGGATTCCATTTGCAAATGAGGTCTGTGATCTGCCCATAAAGAAAGCAAAGGAGTATTGTACTAGACAAGTACCATAAGACACAGAGCAATGAATAGAGGCCAAGCATTTGAGGTAAATATTTGGTAACTTTTTATAGCCTTCATCAACATTTATAGACATCAAGCAAAATAAAAGCTCAGTGGTGCTGGGCTTGCTCTGCTGTTTCTTTTGACTTATTATATTTTACTTTGTGCTGGAAATGCCCTGCGGCCTCATTTTAGTAGGCCCTGCATGACTGAATGCAGAGACTCAGTCTCTTCCCCAAAGAACTTCCTAAGGTAAGCGGTAGTAACTTGTAAAAGAATGTGCAGTGTTATTAGATTCCTTTAAACTTAGTCTCATTTACAGTTGATCTTACAATGTGAGTTTTCGCAGGGGGGAGGATCTGTAGAGAACATTGTAAATAGCGCTTAGTGCCCTTGCCAATAGGAAAATGCTTTTTGTTGCTTTTAGACAGAGGTGAAAGTAAAGGGGATATGCCACTGTGGCAAGAGCTCCCCTTGGGCACGCTCTTTAAAACAGTCAAGCCTTCCAGATTACTGTGTCCCTTTCAGGAGTCTTATTTATCTTGCGTACCCCAAGACACACATCCTCATTCATCCCCGGCCTTCAGCCCTGACTCCTGCACCTCTCCCCCACAACTCCCTGCTCTGTCCCCCTCCCACCCTGTACTCCTTCTGCGCCTCCCTACCTAGCCCCCTGCCTTGACTCCAGCACTCCCAACTCCCTGCCCTGAGCCTCCCACCCACCCCCTGCCCTGACTCGGGTGCCCCCACACATCCTCAGCACCTTGCCTTAAGCCTCCTCACAGCTGTACATACCCCAAAGGGAAAGAAACAGCATGAACACCAGAATATCAGAGCTATTGCTTTCATTACCTGTATTTTACATTCACCATATTTTACATTACAAATCCTCTTCAGGTTTCAGTTTTTACTTCTTGCTGGGGGAGCATGTTCACGTCTGGTCTGATGTGACCTAGCAGCACTGTCCTATTGCTTCGTGCCTGCCCCAGCTCCTGCCTGCCCCCCTCGCCCTCTGAGCTGCTGCCTCTCTATCGGGGAGGATGTGTCTGCGGGATCTGGTGCTTGTGGGGAGCCAACTGTTTTTAAACGACTGTTTACATCCCTATGCAAATATTTGTAATAAAAAATAAAGCTAGCACTGTACACTTGATAGTCTGTGTTGTAATTGAAATCAATATATTTGAAAATGTAGAAAACATCCAAAACTATTTAAATAAATGGGATTCTGTTATCAGTGCAATTATGTGATTGATTGTTGTTAATCACATGACAGCCCTAACATTTTCATGCAGCCATGTACTGGAATATAAGAGAGAAGGCCACAAGAGTTCTGTAAATTGATCAGCAAAAGCACATTAAAATGTGACAGTAAAGAAATCAGTGAATTGCAACAGCAAGTATAATGTGGGATAGTGGGCAGGAGAAATGAAGGAAATAATCTTAGATTAACAATGCTGCCTGCTCACTAGGGCCTCCTGTGTCAGTTAACAATGACAGGAAGGGCCAGATTGAGAGATTCTTACTCTCATACTGAGCACAGCGATTCTCTGTGCAGGGTCCCATTCCGTCAGAGAGGACTATTCAAGGAGTAAGGTACATCTCAACATGTGTAAAGGTTGCAAAATATGGAGCTTATTAAAGTGTCAGCTCTATATAGACAGTGTTTTATTTTAATTTTAAATACAGGCAGTCCCCGGGTTACATGGATCCAACTTACATCGGATCCCTACTTACAAACGGGGTGAGGCAACCCCGCACTAGCTGCTTCCCCCCAGCAGACCAGGGAGATGTGAAGCTAGTGCCCCCTCACCTGGAGACGCGGAGCGGCTTTTCTCAGCAGACTCCTCAGCTTGAGAATAAAGGACTGAGGGAAGTGAGGTGTGGGAGAATAAAACTGAGCTCTGGAGAAATGTTTGGCTAGAGTTTCCCCTACAATATGTACTAGTTCCAACTTACATACAAATTCAACTTAAGAACAAACCTACAGTCCCTATCTTGTACGTAACCCGGGGACTGCCTGTATTGTATTAATAAAATTTCAACATATTGAGGTATCTTGAGAAGGAGGGGTCTGGTAAGAGCATTGATTTCCATAGATGTTTCTACTTCAGAGAGAAATAAAAGCTATTAAAGGAACACTGTTAAGGAGCCTGAGCAACAAATAATATATCTCTGTATAACCATAAGCAGAACAAGAGTAACATCCAAGAAATTAAGCAGGTACATTGGTAATCACTTTTTAAAATGTAAGAATATTGATTGCTAAGGATACTATTGATCAAGTTACTAGGGATTCTATATCTGAAACAGCAAAGGAAAAATGAATAGATAAGAGGGAACATTTAGAGAAGTTTCATATGGCACCTTTCACAAAACATCATTACTGTACCTCTAAACTGGAATTGTTAATAGTGATGAAGATGAGAAATGTAACAAGTTTTCATTTGATTTCACATTTGTATTTAGTTTACTCATTTTTCTTTTATGTATCTTAAACAATAGTTATACCAGAAATACACTATGAACTGCTTCTCTTGCTATATATCTGTTATGTTCCTGCAAACTCAGGCTTTTTTAAAAAATGTGTGAGCAAAAAAATTTTATAGCTAAGGATCCTGCGACTCTTGTAATTAAATACCTTTTATTTTAAAATTAGTTGGAAAGATCTTGTGTAAATTACTAGTTCAATAAAACTGTTCACTCTTTCTAATCGCCTGCGTTTAGTAAAATTTCCTACCTGTGGCACTGAAGTAAATTTAAGGGGAGATCCTGGCTGGAGTAAAAATGCTTAAGCAGAACAACTGCAAACACTGTTTGCTATGGAAAGAAGCTTTTTATAGATATATGCCAGGTATCAGGACTATAAACTATCCATTAATATTCCTGTTATAGTTGCAAAACTTCATTGAATTGTTATGTCCTCCCCCTCCACACTCCACTTACTTGATGTCACATTGTTTAACTTAACGTTTTATCCGTACCAAGGAATTGTACCATCACTGCAAAACATACAGCCATGCTAATGATGAGTAATAGATGAATGTAGAGGTAAACGGACAATTGCATATGTGGAAATTGGGCAGAGGAGAATCCTATACATCAGCTAGGCATCAGGTCCACAAAGAATTTGTGTGGACTCCTACAAGGCATTATTGGTGGAATGAATCCAGCATGGAATGTAAAATATGGAAAGGAATAAAAACATAAACCAAGTACACCTACTTCTCCTTACTCTCATTGAAGAGAATACATTGATCATTCTAGTTGTTAAACTTTTGCTTTTAACTAAACCTTCTTCTGCAATGATGGTACTGAGTTACCCTACAGTTAAATAGCTTGACAGGTTTTTTGTTCTTTGCTGTAACACTTCCCTTTAACTTCCCATTGACACTCTCTCAATGACTTAACCACCTGCATTCTGCTACAAAGACCTTTTACATCTGCACTTGAAAGGGAATCCTCTGAACTGTCATTCATGTTAAAATTCGACACTCTCCGAGAAGGAATGAACAAACACTCAAACTATCTTACCCATTACCAAGATAGCTTCCCCAATTATCACCTCTAATACCATTAACTCACAAACATATCATTATCTCTCTGGCATTCACCTTCCTTTCCCCTCCCCCCCCCCGCATCCCCCTCCTGTTCTGAAATGTGATTTGTCCTTTACATATGTGTTCATTTTTTTTAATTGTATCCTTTGGTATATATGGTTGTGACTATTTTCTTCCACTATTTGATCTGAGGAAGTGGGTCTGGCCCACGAAAGCTCATCATCTAATAAACCATCTTGTTAGTCTTTAAAGTGCTACATTGTCCTGCATTTTGCTTCCCTTTAACCCTTCCTATGAAAGGTTTGCACTGCCTCAGGCTTAGAATCTCCATTCTATAATGTGTGTCTGCCAAGAGTTGCAGGGCTGTAGTACCCTTCTTTGTTCTTTGTTATGCCTTTTCTTTACAGGGGTGCTTTCTATCACCTGTTCCCCTCTGTAGTGTGTGGCTGTAGTATCTACTGTCTCCTCTTGTATCCTTTATTTTTAGTGCTCATAGTTAGATTTTCCAAGATACTTAGAATAAGTCTTGTTCAGAACAGTGTATTTACTTTAGGACTGCTCCAAATGAGCAAAAAATGAGGCATATGATATTCTGTCATCTTTGATGTGAAGATGTGGCCACTTTTGAAGCTCTCAGTATGCAGTTTTTCATCTTGAGCCAAGCAGTTTCTTGGAAACCCAGCTGTTAAGATGTCTCTTACACCTTCACATTAAAGGCAAGGGCACCATAGATCTTCTTTCAGCCATCCGTTTTTAGCTGGCTCTATCTTAGGTTTATCTAGTTCTTTCACTTGAAGATTGTTTCTCAGCATTTTGCACGTGACAAAGCCCTGGCTGGGATGATTTAGTTGAAGTTGGTCCTGTGTTGAGAAGGAGGCTGGTCTAGATGGCCTCCTGAGGTCTCTTCCAACCCTACTCTTCTTTGATTCCGTGACCCCAAAATGCTGACATCCAGCAGTGAATGCATTTGATATAAAAATGTTCCCTCTGGTAACGCTCAACTGTCCTATTTGCTGTTTTAGGAGCTGTGGTTGAAATGGAAGGCTGAGGAGCTCAACCTTATGTTGGAAGTCTACATATGGACACTAATCCTTGAGTGGAAACACAATGAAAATGCTTCCTGGAGTGGGTGTGTTTGGGACTGGCAGCACTGCCCGGGTATTGGTACCTTTGTTGAAAGCAGAGGGTTTCTCCATCAAAGCACTGTGGGGCAAGACTGAAGAGGAAGCAAAGCAGCTAGCGGAGGAAATGAACATTGAGTTCTACACAAGTCGCACTGATGATGTCTTGCTGCACCAAGATGTGGATTTGGTTTGCATCAACATCCCTCCACCACTAACTCGGCAAATTGCTGTGAAAGCTTTAGGTACCGGTGTGGCTTTTTTTCTCTTTGGACACAGAGAAAGTTACTGGTGGTTTTTTTTAATTCTCTAATTGATAAACTGCTTGCTAATTGATTTAAATGTGTAGCTATTGGCTTATCAATGAATAATCAATAGTGCTAGAAAAACAACGTTTTAAATTGTTGCGTTTGGAACTGAAAGTGCTGCTTGTAGGTTACCTGATGCTTCCCATCATAAGATCCTGCTTATCACTTTACTGGAACTTCTGCTCTTCAGACTGAAATTTCCCATGCTGAGTGTCCGCCTCAGACTGGGTATTTTTGGAAAGTTTCAGGAAAAAAATAGTTAGCTACTTTTGAGAAGAAAATTAGGGAA